AGTCAAACCCTTTCCTCCTTTTCCCCCACTCTATTGTGAAATGTTGGTCCCCACTTCAAATGGACTCATTGTAAGTGGCCTTTTTCTAGCACCACTTATCTGAGAATAACAAGGACTTCACAGAGCCCCAGCCATCGCTTCATCCCGTGATTGGCAAGCCTGGCTGCACGTTAGAATCTCCTGTGGAGTTTGTTAAACAATACTGCAGCTGGGATCCCAACCTGTGCTAATTCAATCCAAATCTCTGCTGGTGGGACCAGAGTGGAAACTCTCCAGGTGATTCTGTTGCATGGCCAGGGGTGTGAGTCACTGCCGCCGCCCCTCCTGCACATGCTGAGGCTGGAAGAGACTGAGGCTGCCTGCAGCTGGACTGCCCTGAAGGGAGAGCACCAGGGCCTAGGCCCAGTGCGTGAAGGGGTCGCTCAGAGGAGCAGCTGCAGGGCAAAATCCAGGAGTCAAAGGGCAACGTGTGGCTGGTAGGGTCACTTCCTTGGCACAGCCATTGTGTCCTTTACTCCCTTAGCACTGTGGGTATATAGCCTCCCCCAGTCCCTTGCCTCTCTTTCCTATGCTCAAGGCCAAGAGAGCCTGGCTCCCTCATGGACATGTGGTGAGACAAAAACTTGAACATTATAGTAAGCATATGATGGTTGCTGAACACATGACAGACATCATGTTATCTTGTGGATCTATAACGTGTCTGTATTTTACTGCTATTCCCAGCACCCAGCATAGTGCTTGACTTATAGTAATTGCTCGATAGGTATGTTTTGAATGAGTGAATAAGCTGAATACAGGCAGGATGTGGTAAGTAGGTACCATGATTAAGGTACAAAGTGTTACAGGAGTACTGAAGAGGACAAGAGGGTGTTCAGCTTGGGAGAGGGGGAATGTGCAAGTCTTCACAGCAGAGGTGGCATTTGAGCCGGACTTTGAAAGGCAGTGATGGACAGAGATGGAGAGAGGACATCCCGGGGAAAAGAAACCATGTGAGCCAAGGGCAGGAGGTGAGAAGGTGCAGAGCTCATTCAGTGAAAGGTGGGATGGGAGTGTGTGACAGCCTCAGACTGGTAGGATGGGATTGGAATCCAAAGAGCCTTGAAAGTCATGCTGGGAGGTTTACACTTGATTCTACAGGCAATGTGGAACCATCTGATGTTTTTGCTCACAGGTGTAATATGTTCCCTTTGGGAAGATTAGATGTATGCTTTATGGCAGCAGTTCTTTCACAAAATATTTACGGCGTGCCTCCTAAGTGCCGAAGTGTGCAGTGCTGGGGAAGATGGATCGAAATTGGAGTAATTGAAGAAGAGATTAGTTGGGAGGTATCATAGTAGTCCAGGCAAAAGCTGCTGAGGGTCTGAAGCGGCTGAGAGGGAGCGGGTGGAAAGGAGGGGGAAGGAGTTGACGCATGTTACACGGGGAGAATTGACGGAACTTGGTGACTGTTTTAGGTGGAGGTCAAGGAAAGAGAAGAAAGACCGGGTGACCGATGACAATAATAACGATCAATAGTTGAGCGGCTCCTTCATGCCAGCTGTTGTGCGAAGCGCTTTATGTCCATCATCTAAGTCTCACAGTAACCCTCTTGCTAGATGAGGACACTAAGGCTCAAGAAAGTCAAGGAACTCACGCCAAGTCGTGAACTCATACACTCGGGCTCCAGAGACCATGCCCTAAACTCCGTGCTCTGCTGCTTTCTGGGGAGTTGAGGGACTTGGGTTTTCTCCGTGAAGGAATTCAGCAGCTCAGTGAGGACACCAGATTCCCTCCCAACTAACTCATGCTCTCCCCTCTCCTGGGTATGTGAGAAGGTGGCAGTGGTGGAGGGCTCTGTCTGTCACCTCTCCTGTGCTCCCCAAGCGCCTTCCTGCCTGGGACAGGAAGATGGGCCTGGTGAGGCAGAGTGCGAGAGATGAGACTGGGAGACTAGAAGCGAAGGCTGTGACGAAGGTGAAAAACTGCTAATCCCCAGGCCATGTGGGGCCTGCAGACATATTTAGCCCACACAGAGGTATGTGGGATATTTTTAGACTTGAGCCAACATTTTGAAATTAGAGGCTTCACGTAAAATTCTCGAGTCCTGATGTCCCTTGAAGAATGAGAAGACCTGGCAACGCTGGGCCCACATTCCCACAAGTCAACCCTGGGCTTGAGCTGCCCCTGTAGACACCCACACCCTGCACTTGTCACCACTTCCAGCCTTGGTGTCCATACTTCAGCCCAGCCCAGCCCACTTCCTTCACTCACACTTATCTGCCTGATCCCTGCAGGGGGTTGAGTTTGGATTTCCTTCTCTAGAATAGCCTACTACAGAGTTTCGCCTTTTTTTCTGAGACTTGAGCCAACAAGCAGTGGCACAGAGGTTCAGCATCCTCTGGTCCCGCCTCCTCCCCAAGCCATAGACTTTTCCCTTGGGCAATTTTTGACGCCACAGAACAAAACCATGAAGGGAAGGTTATCATCAAGTCTTACCATTTATTTCTTTATGGGGTTAAACAAGAGCAGAGAGGCTTCTGCCCCACAATGCAACAAAACAGAAAGCGGTACACATACAGAGACTCTCACCGAAACACAGAGGCAGGGGAAGGGCGACAACTGAACCCTAGCCAGGTGAGGGAGGAAGGGACAGGGACTACTAGGAATCCAGCTTGGAGACTCAGTCATAGGAACTAGTGCAAGAAAGTCCTACTCATGAAGCACAGTGTAGAAAATGGCGTAAGAAAGCTGCCCAGCTCTGCTGCCTGTGACGAACGGCAGGGGCAGCTGGAGGGGTGGTGGAAGATCTGGGCAGTGGGGTGGATGGGGACAGTCAAATGACTCTGAGGTGGAGTGAGGTGCCCCTTTCCCCTGCCACTGGGCAAGGCCCTGGGCTGGTCTGAGCCAGGGGTCTCCTGGGCACTTGGTGAGGGGGAAGAGGGGATGGGAGTCTCCAAGGGTCCATTCCCTGGGGTCCTAAGGTCCCCCTTTACTTCCCGGTCCCTTTTCCCCTCCTGAGGATGCAGGAGTTACAAGGCAGTACATAGAGTCTCTCACATCTACAGAAGCATCTCTGGAAAGGAGCCAGCACCTCTTCCCCTCCCCAGCTGAAAAGAGCACTCTAGGGATGGGGTATGTGGCTAGGCCTGAAATGCTGAAGGCCAAACATGGAGTGTGTGGGCAGGGCACAGGGCTGGGCAGGGGGAGGGGAACACGCTGTGAGAAATGAGAAAACTGGCAGGGAAGGACTCCCTGGTCTCACAAAGCCTATTTTGGGACCCAGCTGAGGCCCTTGAATGATTCCCTCTCTACTAGTGAGGTTTCCCATTTATCCCCCAGCCAGCTGATTCCAGCTGTTCCCTCCCCTTCCCCCTTTTGGTTTCCCCTAATGCAGCTCCAGGCCCACCCCTCCCTTTAACTCACTGGCATTGCATCCCAGGACACAGGCCCTTCTGGCACTGAAAGCCGCTTGGCCTGTCCCAGGAACACAGTTGTGGCTTCCTTTCTCGTCTGCTCCTATTGGCTTGTAGATGTCCCAGGCCATGTGGCCTCCCACCCCTAGGAGATCAGCATAAGGCTAATGGCCCCCAAGGGGCTCTCCAGGCCTCTTCTCTCGTGCAGCTCTCTAGCCTGACTGAACACTTCAAGTCTCTCAACCAAGGGACCACAGCACATCGTCTTTATTTAGCAGGTCCTCTTGCCGGTTTCTGGACTTTCTCCAGCTAGGGGCAGGGGTGGCTGGATTAGGGGGGACCTGCTACAGGGTGAGGAGCAGTGTAGTGGTTCCACAATTGGGATAGTAACCCATGGGGTCAGGGATGAGAAGGGATGAATACTCTTTGGTAGGCTGGGGTCGGGGACAGGCTGGGGATGGGGGAGGCTCATCTCTGGAAAGCTCTGGGGCAATGCCACCAGGGTTTCCGTCATGGAGGCCTGGGCTAGGACGAGATGGGGGAGTCTGGGGACCCAGGCCAGGCCTGACCCTCTTGGGCTTAAGTCCCTCCTCCCCATGGAGATCAGAAATGGAAACGTCTTTGGCCCCAAGGCCAAGATCTCCAGGGCAAGAGTGGCCCTTGGGAGTATGTGCACCTTCTGTAAGATATGGCCCTTCAGACAGCGGCAGTCTGACCATGTGCCCTCAGCCTTCTGTTTCAAGGCCCAAGAACCCAGTCCCTGTGCTCCTTCTCCAGAGGGCTCCTTACGCAACCCTTTCTGATTTGGGGACGTGTCCTCGAGCCTGCCTCAACACTGATCATCTGCCTCCCCAAAGCCAGGTGGTGACAGCCCATTTAGCCATCTCTCTAAGCCCTCTGCCCACCTCTCTCCTCTCCTCTCCCTCTTCCCTATCTCCGCTCTTTCCCGCCACTCATTCTGCACCCCCTTCCTATACCTCATGGCCTAGGGTGCTGGGGCACAGCTTAACTGGGTCCCTGACCTAGCCACAACTGGGTACACCTCATGTCCCAGCTGGGCCCTTCCCTGTGGCGGCCCCACATGGGACAAGGTGCGCTGGAGCGGGAGGAGGGCCGCCGCATCATCTGCTGTTGCCTGCAGGGGTGTGGGCAGGAGGGAATTAAGGATCGTGGCAACAAAAGGAATGCGGAGGGGGGAAAGAGCTTCTCCCCTCTGTGCCCCCCAACATTCCCTGAAGAGCCAAGGCTGGGTAAGCAGCCTCCTTCCTTGGGGTCAGGGCTCTCAGTGGTGGTGGGCATTTCCACCCCCACTCCCCCCCCCTTTCTTTTTTGGCTAAGCCCCATAGATGGGGGCCTGGGAGGGGGGCACCTGCTGCTCCTGCCTTTTTCTCCTGGATGAGTTTTGCAGCTCCCTGGGGCCCTCTGGCGGTTCTGTTGGAGCTGCTTTTGGAGTGGGGGTTGGTAGGGGGCGATGTGTCATTGCCCCATTTCCCCCACCCCCCACCTGGTCCTACACCTCCCATGGGAGGGGCCCCCTCCCCCTCCCCCTGGGGGGGGCGCTGGAGCTGATGTCGGTGTGTGGTGGAGGTCTGATCTCCCTCCTTGCTGTCACTCTTCCCGAGTCAGGCCCTCGTCTAGGGCAGGCAGTGCCTCCAGGCCCGGTGCCCCACCACCCTGGCCGCTGGAGAAGGACACCATGGTATGGAGGAGCATGAGAACAAGGACGCAGAGCCGGATCCTGCTGGGACTGAGGCGGGAGCCCCCAGAGACCGGCAGCAGGGAGGGATTGTGGCTGAGGTGGCCTGGGGGGTCGTGGCGGGGGTGGTAGTGGGGGTAGTGTTGGTGGTAGTGGTGGAAGTAAGAGTGGTGGAATTGCTGGTGGTGGGTTTTAGGGGCCTCAGACTCCTTGAACGTCTTCTTCTCCGACTCACAGGAGACCCACTGCACGTCACAGCACTTGGTTTCCGGCCGCTTTGGCGAAGTATCCAGCAACCCTGCCAATGGATAAGCAAGGCGGGGTGGGGTGCTAAGGGGGCTGCTGGCTATGTCTTTCTGAGAGAGGTGATTGTCAAAGCTGGGGCTGCTCTGGTAGCCCTGCCCAAGACTCTTCCCCCTGCCCCTTAGCACCGTCCCTTTCTGGACACATCTTCCAGGGAGCCCAGACAGTTTTTCTGGGATAACTCCCCGGCCAGGTATGTTTTGGATACAGATGGCCACTCTGCTCTCTCCCCCTATTCCACTTTGCCCCATCCCAACCTGGGGCCTCACTACCTACTCCCGCAGCCACTAACCCTCTCCTGACCCAACTTCCCTGTTGCCCTCCCTGCTCCCACAGCCCCGACCTGGTGCCTGCTCTGGGCCCCTGGCTTCCTCCCTCCTCCCAGGGCCCTGCCTTTACCTGTACAGATAAAGCCAGGGAGCCCTCCGTACACCATTTCCTCATTGTCAGGGAGGATAAAGGGGCACCGGGTCTGCACCTCCAGGCAGTATTGCTTGCAGGGCACCCAGCGCTGGCATTACTGCTGGGTCACGCTGAAGTATTCTGAGCCCCAGCGCTGGCATGCCTGCTGGGTCACGCTGAAGTATTCTGAGCACAGCCAGGCCTTGTAGACAGCCTGTAGGGAGAGGAAAAAGCATCAGCCCCTTTCCGCTTCAGAGGAGAGGGATGAGGAGGGGTGTACCTGTACTCTATAGGGGGAGGGTACGGTGTGCTCACCAACCCACCCCCAGGATCCAGGGGGTGGGGAAGAAGGGTTTGGGTCAAGACCACTACCTCCTACCCTAAAATCTCCCATTTCACAGCCAGAACTCCCAAGTCCCCGATCTGCAGTCATCCAAGACTTTGAATTTGTTCATTGGTAAAAATCACAAAATGACTCCCATATCAGAGCTGGAAGAGGTCCATCCGACCGTACCCTTTTATAGCTGGTCCCAAGAGATGTCCTGACTCGTCTGAGGTCACCTATATTGAGGTAAATTTCACTTCCATTCAATTCAGCAAACATTTCTTTGGCTGATGGTGTTAAGTTTCTAAACTCAAGAAAAGAGATGGAGAGGATAATCTTTGCTTTACCTCATTAGGGTGTTGGGTAGATCAAATAATATGACACATATGAAAATGTTTTGTAAATTCTATAGTGCAGTACAAATGTGAGGGGTTATTTTTAATAAAAACAGGAATCTGCCTTACCAAGCACCACACGTGCCTTCAAGCTCTACTTAACCCATGCTCTGTCCTGTTGGCGTCTGCCCTGGAGTGGAGCAGACACCACATTTCATTTGGAAACTTTGCTTGGCCGTTTCACTTCATGGGTATACTTCCTGCCCCTCATCTAGCCCATTTCCACCAGGTCCTGGCTAAGAAAGGTTCCCTGCTCTATACTCTGGCTATCATCAAGACCAGAGTTCCTCAACGGCGACACTACTGACATTTTGGACTGGATGATTCTTTGTAGTGGGGGCTGTCCTGTGCATTATAGAATATTGAGAAGCATTTCTTGCCTCTACCCAGTAGTTACCAGTCGCATCCTCCCCCTCCTCATTGTGACAACCAAGAAATGTCTCTGGCCATTGCCAAATATCCCCTGGGTGGGGTGCAAAATCATCTCCCATTGAGAACCAGTGATCTAACCCCTTGCTACTGAAAGTGTGGACCTGGACCAGCAGCATCACCATCACTTGGAGCTTGTGAAAAGTGCATAATCCCAGGCCCTGCCTCAGACTTGACAAGTCACACCTGCATTTCAACAGGATGCCCAGAGCCCTGCCCACATCCATTCTTCATATTTTCAGGGGCACCTTCCCATAGTTGCTCCTTGTAGCGATGGTTCTCCGACTTCAGTGTGCCTCAGAATCCCCTGGGACACTTGTTAAAAAGGCAGATGGCCCCCTCCAATTCAGCTTCAAGAGGACTGAGGTGGGCTCAGGAATCTGCCTTTGGAACAAGGGTCCAGGTCATTCTGCGGCCAGAGGCCTTTCAACCACACTCTGAGCAACGTGGTCAGAGCTTCTTACACAGACTTTAAACACTTACACTCAAATACAGATAACTCCACGGTGAACATGGACTTGGGCAATGTAATCCCACACTGGCCTTTTCCAAAGTGGGGGCAGGGGCGTGGTGATGGGTGGTAGTGGTGGGTGGTAGTGGGTTGTGGTGCAAGTTACCCCCCTGAGGAACACAGATTTGATATCTCACTGGCTTCTCAAATTTAACATGCTCTAAACCTTAAAATTCAGTTCTTGTTTTTACTCCAAATCTGCCCACACCCCTGAGTCTTGACCACTTCGGTTAAGTGCCATGACCATCGACCTGGGTATTCAATCCAGAAACTTAGGTGTCAGCCATCACTCCTCTCTTTGCCAGCATCCCCACACGCAGCCCATCAGCAAGGCATGCCAATTCTCCCTCTACTTCCACGACTCTGTGCAGGCACTGTCATTTGTCACCTGGACAACAGTCTCCTATGTGGCCTCCCCACCTCCACTCTTGCTCTTTCCAATGCACTGTTTACACAGGAGTAAGAGCGATCTCAAAATGACATTCGAACATGTTACTCCCTTGCTTCAAACCCTTCAATGCATTTAGAATAAAACCCAAACTTTCGACCACAGACTTCAAACCCCCGCATAACTTGGCCGCTGTCTGTCTCTCCAACCTCATTTTCTACCTCTCCCATACGGCTCATAATGCTCCACACGCTGAGGTTTTCTTCCTTTTCCTTGAACATGCCCTACTTCTTCCCACCTTGGGGCCTTGGCACACACTGTTCTCTTGGCCTGATATGCTCTTCCCCCCTGCCCCCCACCACTTTTGGCCTGGCTAGGTCCTTCTCAACTTGGAAGCCTCAGTTCAAAAGTCACCTCCTCAGAGAGGGTCTCCCTGACCACTCTAGTTAGAGAATGCCCCCTCATTATTCTTTTTCTTAAATGTTTCTTCACCACAAGTATGAGTTTGTCTGCATCCTTGTTTTGTTTTTCCCTGTCAACCTCACTAAAATGTAAGACGCATAAAAGCAGACGCGGGTCGGTCTTATTGACCATATTGAGGACTCAGCACAATATATGTATGAAAACAAGTCTTGTTGATGGAATGAGCCAGATGAGTAAATGAGGACATGTCCCTACTCTCAAAGAAATTTCAGTTTCATGGATAGACAGATCTCACTTGAAACTATGGCACATTTTCTGTACTATAAGAGAAGTTAAACCACTGGCCACTGGAGTGAAGCAAATAGAAAAGCCGGGAAAGATTTCACTGAGGGTATGAGTTGAGCTGGGGGAGTTCCCTGGTGGTCCAGCGGTTAGGAATCCACCTTCCAATGCAGGGGGCGTGGGTTCGATTCCTGGTCGGGGAACTACGATCCCACATGCTCTGGGGCAACTAAGCCTGAGGGCCACAACTACCGAGCCCACGTGCTCTGGAGCCCACGCGCCACAACTAGAGAGAAGCCTGCGTGTTGCAACGAAGAGCCCGCACACCACAACGAAAGATCCCGCGTGCCACAACTAAGACCTGAGACAGCCAAAAATAAATAAATAAATATTTCAAAAAAAAGAGTTGAGTTGGGACTCAAAGTAGGATTTTAGATGGCATGGGCAGAGATGAGACAAAAGGGCATTCTGGACTGAGGCAACAGCTTAAGCAAAGGTACAGATGTGAGCACATGCATGGTGTGCTAAAAGAATGGAGAACAGTTTCATATGAATGAAGTGCAAAGGATACCAACCTCCCGTGGATGGACATTTAAGTTATTTCCAGGTTTCCACTATCACAAACAATGCTTTGGTGAGCAGGTCTGTACACACCTCTCTTGAACACTTGTGTTACATTTTATTTATATAAACTCTTAAGAGTGAAATTATTGGGATAAAAGGTATGTGCAATGGAGTGAGAAGGGAGTGGAAGGAGGTGGAAAGGAACAAGTAAAGGTAAGAGGCAGGGGAAGAGGGAGCTAGAGGGGTAGGAGAAGGACTCAGGGGTTGGATAGAGTGGCAGTGGAGTCCGGGGGCACAAGGGAGGAGGGGAGGAAGAAAGAGAGGGTAAGAAAGAGTAGGGAGTTGGAAGGTGAGAACTGGTGGTTATAGCGGGCGTAGGAAAAAACAGCACTGGGGAGGAAGCAGGGGAATAAGAGATGGAGGGTGTAAGGGAGGTAAAGAGGTACAGTGAGGGTGAGAGAAGATGAAGGGTAAGAAAGGGTAGGGCATAACAGGGCGGGGGACAGGAGACATGGAAGATGGGCTGTGAAGAGGAGGGGTAAGGAAGACGGAGGAAGAAAGAGGAGGGTTCAAGAGGCAGCAGGGGAATAAAGGGGGGTAAAGAAGATGGGAACAGAGGAAGGCCAAGATAAGAAAGAGGGATAAGCCAGCAGAAGGAGATGGGGGAGACAGAAAGAAAAGTTAAGACAGGAAACAAAAGGATATCCCTAACGCTAAGGGCCCCAGTACCTTGGAGACTCCCCCCCCTCCAACTTGTGGGTCCCAGGGCGCCAAGAGGCAGCTCTGTCCACAGCCTCTGCCCCAACCTCTGCAGCCTGGACCCAGAGTCCACCTCCACCCTCACCCTGAATTGTGTGGAACAGCCCAGTCCTCCACTGCTGGGGTTCAGAGGCCCCTGTGGGATTCTCCCTGGGCTCTTTCGGTTCAATATTCCTGCTCCCAGGTGAGGCTGCAGTGGAGGGCCAGCTCTGCTCCCAGGCAACTGCAGTTAGCCTAATAGCAGGCGCTGGTGGCCAGGCACTCCCCGCCTCTGCTCTGGGAGAGAGAGGGGGAGTTGAGGGAGGCGGGGCTGGGAGAGGGGTGGCCTGACAGTGGGAGGGAGGCCTTTCTCCTTAGCTAGACGACCCTCCCTCAAGCCCCAGGCCCCAGAGTCACCATGGCGAGCAGGTTGCCTGAGGAGGACACCAGGCCTGTGGGTGGCAAGACAGGAAAAGGCAAGGAACTAGTGAGAGGAATGGAGAAAGTAGAGCGACACGGGGCTGAGAGAGGTCATCCAATTCCTTAGCCCCACATATGGCCAGCTGAGGTCATTGCTGGCCCACGTGATTTAAAAAGGGGCTGGGGCCCTTCTCAGATGAAAAGTCTGGCTCTCAGGGCTACCACCTGGACAGCAAGCCTGCCTTAGTCTCCGTAGCCATCTTCCCTAGGCAGGCCTAAGCCACTTGCCCCATCTCATCAGTGTTAGGACTGAGCCAGAGGGGACCGGGTTGCTAGGGCAGTTGCAGGGGACGTGGGCACTCATCCACAAGGATGGGGAAGAGCCAGGAGAGCTGCGTTCGGAGAGCTGTGGGGCTTGCTGGAGGCGGGGCATGCAGGGCAAAGGAAGAAATGTCTCAGAACCAGACAACAGTCAGTTGGGAGACCCTCGGAGGTCTTTTGCTCTAGGTCCTCAATTCTGGCTGCATATCAGAATCACTCAGAGAGTCTTTTATTTTTTTTCCCCCCAGGTATCTTGCTATTTTATTTTTAACTAGTTTTTTTTTAACATCTTTATTGAAGTATAATTGCTTTACAATGGTGAGTTAGTTTCTGCTTTATAACAAAGTGAATCAGTTATACATATACATATGTTCCACATCTCTTCCCTCTTTTTTAATTTATTTTTTATATTTTATTT